AAGCAATCCGAAATGAACTGCGAAAGCAGAGCGAGCGTTAGCGAGCAGGGGGCACAGCCCACTAGTATAATATATATTATGCGCTTATTCAATTATTTATTCAGTATTTTTTCAATTATTATTATATTCAATCTATTATTATTCAATCTATTAAAAGTCTTAATTCTGATGACAAAAAATTTTTAAAATATTTTCTGGCATTTAAATCATTTAAATTTTTAATGATTTAATTAAAATATGAAAATATATTTAAGAATAAACACATTTAGATAAATACAGTGCCTCAAAAATGACAGACGATATGAAAAATCTATTAAAGATAAGCAGAAACATATGGTTTGCTAAATTCTGCTTAGGAAACGAGCTTTTTCCCATATATTTTCAAAAGTAGCTGTTAATTTAGTAAACAGGTAGCGCTACTAGCTGAAAACTATAAAACAATCTTCACTCATTTGAGTGGAAAAATTTGCACAGATGTCAATTAATATTTTCCTGAGACTGTATCAACGCTATTTTTTTTTTCCTTGAAAAGGGTGGTTATTTTTAAAATATTCTGTTATAGTAAGTTTCAGTAACCATCTTTGTTTGCATCAATGCAATCTGTTGGCATATTTTGTAATTTATTTAAACATTAGGTGAATAAACTTGTATATTTTCCTAATAAGAACGTAGAAAAATATGCATTTTTATTCCCCATGCATTCCTTGATTTTTTGGAGGCCTCAAAAAGTCCTGCCGCCTTCAATTTTTTTCTTAACTTAATTTTATTTTCAGCCTGAATAATGCAGATATGTTGGAAAATAAAAAATTAACAAACATCACTCAGTCGCCGACCTACCAAATGATACATGACGAAGAATGGAAAAGAGGGAAAGTGGAAGAACATGGTCCTTTAGAAGAACATGTCTACAATGTTGTTCCTCACGGCGGTAATTCTTATAGACACGAAATCCACCAATCAGAAAGCTTTAAATCTATCATGCATGACTTGAAGGGAATATCTGATATGTGATAGGGAACAGTTTCCTCTGTCTTACGGAAAAAAATATCAAAAATAAGAAGAAAAATCAGAAGTAAGACAAAAATTAAAACGTGCCAATTCAAATGGTAAATATGGTGTATAATTTTGTATAATTTGAAATGTATTTATATATTTATTGATTTTAAGTTCCAGTATATAAATAAAACGTATTTAATATACAACATACCATAACCATGTGGTTAAATATTATGGTGGTTTTTCCTCCCATGTAGATGGTTAAGTAATTTTTATTAAAGTCAAAATTATTAGTCAAACTATTAATTTTAATTACTACAAGCAATAGCCAGTGTTCGTTAAATAGTATGTGGTTTTCTATCCCGTTGTAGATGGTTCAGTAATTTTCATTGAAGTCAAAACCATTAGTAGAACCATTAATTTAAATTACTATAAGCAATAACCAGTTTTGGTTAAATATCTTGGTGTTTATTTCCTTCCCTGTAGGTGTTTAAGTAATTTTTTTAATAAAGTCAAAACCATTAGCATTTGATCTAAAATAAAACACATGATATATCCTATATGATTTCCTATTTTAAAATCTAAAATTTTCCATACTATTTTAAAGAAGAAAAAAAATTCCACTGGTACAGTAAAAAGAAAACTTAAAAGACAAATTACTTATAAATGATAATAAACAAGCATTTATTAAATAATCTTCGAGAAATAAATTTTGGGCAAAGATAAACCTAGCTCATTGCTCTATTTCTGTAACAGAATTGTTTCATAGTAATTTTAAGAACATAAATGGAAAAGGACTTTAAAAATATAAAGAATTAATCCTTAGGAAATAAAGAGTTTCCCTCAGGTACAACTGTCACTTTAATTACTAAAAACTCTAAATGTTACAGTTTTTATACATTAATGTTTAGCAACCATTTTATTCAGAGATTTCCATGCAAACCATAAGTATACAAACCATAGGTTTTGTCTTGTAAATTTATAGTGGTTGTGCCTGTTTCTTAAATCATTGAAAGAAACCTGAGAGCAATGGGTTAAAAAAAAAATGCAACAAAAATTTATAAAAACCAGTTTCTCTTTAAGTTTAAACTCCAGAATATAAAGAAATCAAACAAGCTTATGATTTGAAATGTCATTAAACTACAGTAACCTTCAGCATAGATAATAAAAAACATTTTTATCATTATTTTAAATCCAGATATTTTATCATCGTTTTCGTCCTAATGAAGTAAAATATTTATTTTATCACACTTTGCTGTATCCATGTCAATAGTAGATACATAAAAGAACCAAAATTCAACAAAAATTTTGTATTATAGCCCTAACATTAAAAACTATGTCCAAATGCCTTATGCTCAAAAATTACCTTTCAAAAACAAAACATATAAGCTTTTATTGTTTACTACAATCAATGTTATGATTGAAAGAAATAATGTTACGTGACATTTTTTTTACGCTTAACTTGAAAAGGAAGTAAAGTTCACACACTATAACAGGATATTTAACTTTGATAGAAAGCAAAACTTTCCGAAAGTAATAATGCTATGAAAAAATATTTTTACACAAAGAAATGAACTACACTATTGTAGTCAACAATGCCTGAATGTTGCATTCTAGTAATCTATAGTTTTTTTTATTAAATGACTGCACTAAAAAATGAAATTATCACTGCAACAGTTGATAAATGGTGATATACATTTAAGTTTTGAATTGTGTTTTATTTTTATAGTTGCGACTTATAATGGGTTGTTCTCTTATAAATATATCTATTATGTACAGCTATCTATTTGAATAAAATTTAAAAAAACTCAGTGTCTTTGTGAAATTCATTCCACCAATTTTCCTGAAATACGAACTGAAATACCAAAAGTTTTAAAATGGTATTAAGGTAGTTATTAAAAAAAATATATCAAATTATCATCAGGAAAAGAATGCTTATCAGGCTTATATTTTCAGAACTTATCAATGATATGTTAAATATTCCAACATAATCATACCTACAGTATAGTTCTGATAATATAGAATTTTTCTTATGACACTGTTAAATGCTTCAACTAAAGAGAAATCAATTTCATCAAACAGAAAGATTAGTCAGTCAATTGATTAATTAAAGAATATTATAAAACTATGTTACAGTAAAAATAATGGTGAAATGTGTTTTCTAACAACAAACAAACCAACTTGAAAAACTTTATTACAAGAAATGAATAAAAAAACGTTTGATTTTCAAAATGAAAATTTATTTGAATGCAAATAAACAACAATAACAAATAAATATAACATATTTCAAATTTATAATTTTTTAACAAAAATATAGCAACTGTTATAAAATGATTATATTCTTTGAAGACAAAAAAACATATTTCAGTTAGATGCATAACCTTTTTTTTTTTTATATGAATGAAATAAGATTTTTTTCAGTAACTCATTACCATGCTTTTTTTTACTAAGCTGATTTAAGTATTATCTATGAAGTATTTGTTTTAGACAAACTTGTTAAGTTTATATAGTTTCTTTGATCAATTACTTTAGCTCTAACGATCTTTATTTTCTTTTTGACTAATTAAAGGAACATCTTTTTAATATAATTATCCCTTAAATCATAAATATAGTAATTATTATAATTTTATATATATATATATATATATNTATATATATATATACACAGTACGACCTCGAAAATCCGGACTCATACGTCCAGTTCGTCAAAAAAAAATTTCAAAATAAAAAGTTTAAAAAAATCGCTCAAAATAAAAATTTTCATGCAAGAGTGTGAAACCACAACTCTTCTCCAACAATGAAGCAGTAGATGAAGAGGTAGGGGTGGGGAGTGAATGAAAGCTCATAGCTGATAAGGAAATTCCAGTCATTCTTATCAGCTCTGTATAGATAACACAGAATATAAAGGGGAATCCCCTCCTCCTGAAGGGGAATCCCACAACTCTTCTCCAACAATGAAGAGGTAGGGGTGGGGAGTGAATGATCCACTGCCCAGTATGCATTTAAAAGATTGTAGCAAATTTTGATTAAATGTTGTAAGGAATAATACTTGTATCTTAAGCTACCACTTCAATTTTGAAAATATTACGTATTTTTTTTAATATCGTTTCAGCCTTATCGATCTATTCCTCTCATTTTACCTGGTGCCAAGGTTACAAAAGATATTCCAGTTGGTTCCTACCTGAGGTTTGATCCCTTAAGCCGAAGTAGTACAAGCTCACCTTCTAGCTATGATTCTAGACTGGGAGATCCATACATGCTCAACAAGGTTAGCTTAAAATCTGTTCGCTATTATCTATATAATAAAAAGGAAGAATTTGTAGGTGTGTTTCTTATGACTTCCGAATCATGGGAACAATGAACAATTTTAGTCAAAATTGTTTAAAAAAATTTCACACAGTCCGATCGGCATAGTCTAATAGACGCTTGAAAAACGAATTTTTCTCCAAAATTTAAAAATATAAGTGTGATTTTCTAGCTCACAGCTCTATTTAATTTTAAAAGGATTTTTTTTCCTTCTATTTATTCATCGCTATGTCTGGTAAGCTCAATGATCAACATTGATGGTATGTGAGGACTATGTCACAAATTAGTATTTAAACCGCTTGTTAGTTTTATTTGAAGTTACGCTTTTAAAATGTGCTTCAATAAAATTAAGTAATTTAAAATTAAAGGTAATTTAAATAAAAAGTAATAAGTTGTGTACCGGAAAGAAAATTAATTGAGAAATGGTAGTAATTCGTTTAAGAGAAACCGTAAAAAGTCGCCGTACAATTATTGACACTGAAGCTTCATTAATTTTGGTAGTAGGTTCTACTGGTGCTGTTGTAATAGTTGCCAAATAAACTAAGATAAGTACCAAGATACTCAATATAAATACTGTGGTTGTGGGTTTTTTACGGCCCTTGAAAAGAAAGAAAATAGCTTGGCTGTGGTAAATTTTGACTATCATGAATTGGCCTTAAGCAACACCATCATGTCAAATAACACTTCTTCATTCAATCTTTATTTTAAAGAAATGAACTTCAAAAAACATGCTTAGTTTAATCTAATAACGTACAACCACCGTGAAGGGCAACAAATAGTAATAAAAAAAGGAATTATTTTAACTACAATAATCGTGTAGGTGTGTGTCTTTTAGTTTCGTGTATGATTTCGTAGCTTTTATCAATACCAATTGATTGCTTACTTTTCTTACCATACGAAGAACGGATATTCAGTTAGTACTTTTTTTTTTAAAAAAAAAACGACTGTGAACGCGAGCTTTATCTCTTCAAATTATTTCGTTTGTTAGTAATTTCACGTGAGCATGCGAGAGATAATTTAAACACGTTTTAAGGCAAGATGCCAAAATGCCCAGTCAGATTTATTTAGAATTCAGACAAATAAGGATTAACTTACTATTTATTTTCTACAAGCTAGAGAAAAAAAATTTGCACAGGTTTTAAACAATTCATTTAAGATAGTATAAAGTTAATTCCTCAATTTTGAGATATTTATCAGAAAAAAAATATTAGATTTACAGCTTTTAACCTAAATTTGTTTTTTTAGGTACAGCAAGCTATAATGGAAGCAGCTCAAACATCTTCTGGTGCATCTAGTCCAGGCAGAACACCAACTCCTGATTTTATTAATCAAAATGGAATTCCTGTTTACTTGAAGCAATACAATACACCCATCAACATGTATTCTAATCAAGCCATTGTTGAGGCTCTGGCAGCTCAATCCGTTAGCTCAAGAACACCCCCGTAAGTGAATTGGAAAGAATTTAACTATTAAAATTTCTTCCTTGTGGGATCTAGAACCTTAAAATAATAACTATAAATTAAAAAAACTATAAATTTTTTTGGCTAGGATTGATTGAAAAATGTACTCTGAAATTCAAAATTTAAATGAATTTTTTTATACATATATATTTTATAAGTTTCCCACAAAAATTTAAAGAACAAAGTGATGTTTAAATAAATTTGACAAAATCAATATCAGAATGCTTAAAACTTAACAGGAAGCTATAAAACTAATTTTTTTGTTAAGCTACATTATAAAAAAATTTATGGGATAAATCATTATTTCATAAATAAATAATCATACAAAATCTAATATATGGGTGGTGTTTTCGACACTAGGGAGCGCTGC